CAATAAGTGCAGCTTGTAGTGGTCTTTTAGTTCCTCACCTCCTCTGAGTCCCATCTGCACATCTGTTTACAGTAGTGGTAAGTGTCTTGGAGACATTTCTGCTAGATCTGTACTGAAATCCAGTTACCAGCATTCCTGTGGCTGCAGTCCCAGTTAGGGTGAGAGTGTCATTAAGCTGGCCATTGTATCTGCAAGCTTAGTTTCTGACTTCAGAGAGCTCAAAAGACCAAAGACTGCCAAAGAGAGACACAGCAACCAGATAGCAAGCGATATTAGGGACATAGTGAGCATGTTAGCCTGGCTCTCTAAAGAAATGTTTTTTTATGGAATGACTTTACTTCTTGTTTCTCTGCCAGGTTCTCCAACTGGTTTTGGATTAATTTGTCTATTTCAGCCTGGTTTTCACAGAAGCATAAAAATACCAGGTTCTTGTGGCAAGCTGAAGCACCAGGTTCAAAAGAGCTTTGTGACACCCAACAAATGGGTATACAAGAAAGACACAAATTAGGAGCAGTTGTAGTATGGGCTGCAGGACAGTAAGATCACAGAAATTCAAATGCTCTTAAGTTCTCTTGATTACAGAACAACTTGTATTCTTGTGGAGAACAGGCTAGACTCATTTTGATTCTCTTGTGATTTCAAATAGTCATAACAACCCACTTAAATCTGCTTCAGCAGTGTGGTTTAAATACATTTGATCTAGACAAGAGTTAAAGTAATTAGCTGATATTTGATTTTACTTGATATGGATCCAAACCATGAAACTTTGAACACCCTTAGGGTTCAGAAGTGTTTCATTCAGTGTTTGGGTACTAGTCTGTGTTCTCAAGTAACCTTTTGAAACTTGGCAAATTTAATACCAGATTTAAAATAAAGGCACTATATGGGGAAGCAAGTCTGTAAATGTTTTTTCTTTAACTATGGAGGTGCTCTGGACTATAGTTGTAGAAGCAGAAGGAATAGAAATGTGTTACCTGTATTAAGGTGTGTGCTCGTGTTCATATGCAGTGTTCACACCTGTGTACACACTAATGTGGCTGTTCAAAATGTTACTCCTCCTGCAAGGACCTTACAGTCTTAATAGATAATGAAGGCAATCGTGTGCTTTGAGAGCCAGAGGATGGTGCTAGCTTACAGCATGTGTGCATTTTCAGTTTTGTGATGTGATGACAGCAGCACTCTGACACTGGTTAACATTTGTGGGCCATGTGGAAGGAGCAAGTCTCCATGAGGGATTTGGCTGGGGGAGACCTGCCTGCCTGCCTGGTGCACAGGGATGAGGAGGGTGCTCGCTCCTGGCAGGGTTGAAATAAGGATGAGTAGCATGATGTTTTACATTGCATGTGATACAGTCAGTAATCTGGAATGTCATAGACCATGTTTTATAGGCTTTTTATTTTTTCTTGCAAACAAATATAGAGGGGGGGGGGAAAGAAGTTATGTAGAAATTAAAAAGGAAGTGTATAGATGTTTCTCTTGAAGGCAGAGGCATTTGCTTCCTCTTCAAATAGCAATTATATGTGAACTGGAAAAGCTGTATGTGATAACAATACATCCAATTTGCTGTGTTAAGAAACTGAGAAGGGAAGAATTTGTGGCAGGGAGGATTTCTTGGGATTTAGGATTTCTTTAGGATTTTTCTTAGGCCTATGTATATAGGGCCAAAAGAGGCACAGTTAGGTGGGTATCTTCAAGATGGCATCCTTATGTGACCCCAAAACCAGTGCTCTGTATTTCATTTGTTAATATGTATGTCCATTGTCCAAGTAATTTGTTAGTAGATCATATCACAATTTTCCCTGGCTCGGGAGAAATTGAAATAATGGAAGCATTGCAGAATTCAGACCTTCCCATGAAGCTCTGAAAGGAAAACAAGCAATAACAATGTTGAAGAAGATCGATTCAGTGGTACACACTTTACAGTAATTTATGATATGCAAATTACCCAGAAACATTCAGTTTAATGCCTAAGCAGCACAGTGGGAAGTTTGTGAAACTTCCCACTGTGCTGCTTAGCTCTTTGTGAAAAATCATATTATCTTATACAAATCATATTATTTTCCCCTTACCATTATAATTCTTCAGTGATTTTTAATTTCTTAATGTGCTGAAGAAAGAAAAAAAGAACTAGGAGACCAACAGGGAAATTCATCAATATGTGACCATTAATTAACTGAAGATTTTGAACACTGTCCAAATTCAATGTGTGAATTAAATAATTGATCATTTAAGTAACAATAATTACAATATATCTGAGGATTTCAGAACAGTTTTTAAGTTTTGAATTTTGGAACATTTCTATAAGAAGTTAAAAACATACAACTATAGAAATTAAAAAAAAAAAAAAATTTTAAGGCTGGTCAGGAGATGAAGGAGGAGGGCCCAGGTGTCATGGTTTGGGAAACCTATAAAATTTACAGAATTGATCTATTACTGAAGTCTTTAATATATCTTGAGTTGACCTTAAGCTGTGAAAGATGTTCCATCCATTTCCTGAACAAATAATAGCATAGAATAATGGAAGATCATTTCATTTTACGCTGTTAGCTCCTTTTCTATGGAGCTGAAGCCAAGAGGAGTCAGCATAATTAAATTTGCTTGAAGAAAGAAGGAGTTATCGATAAAGACAGCTTACCAGAAATAGACAGAAAAGGTGCTTGGTAAGAGTACCATCTGGCAGTAATAAAGGAAAGTTGGAGAGTAGAATCAACTCAGACACATTTTGAGGCAAAGAAGTCAGAATTTTCATGGAGATCCATGAGAGAAGATGGCAGAGAAATCTACATGGAGCCCTGCTGTGTATCTGCTCCAGAGCCTAATTCTTGTTCCACAAGGTCATAGAATTGTTTAAGTTGGAAAAACCCTTTAAGATCATTGAAAACAGCCATTAACCCAGCACTGCCAAGTCCACCAATAAACCATGTCCCTATTCACCACATCTCCACCTTTTTTTAATAACTCCAGGGATAGTGATTCAACCACTTCCTTGGGGAGCCCTTTCCAAGGAAGTGGTTGACAACCCTTTCCTTGGAAAAAAAAATCCTAATACCCAATCTAAACCTCCCTGGCACAAACTGAGGCCATTTTCTCTCATCCTATTGCTTGTAATTTGGGAGAAAAGACTGAACTCCACCTCTCTTGCTATACCTCTCTTTCAGGTATTTGTAGAGAATTCCTTCCTGACCCTCCTTTTCTCCTAGCTAAACAACCCCAGCTCCCTCAGCAGCTCCTCACAGACCCTTCCCCAGAAACCTAGTTATAGATATAGGAATATTCCTAGTTATATCTCAAGTCTTGTAGGCAACAGGAGCTGGGAACAGTTTTAGGAGTGTAAGGTAGTTGGTCTGTTAGGGTGTCTCATTACAAAAGGGTTAACAGAGTGCTGAAGAATCATACATATACCATGAAGAGTAAGGATTCTTTTCCATTCAAGAGGTTCCCACCTAGTGAGACTGGTACCAGGGGATTCCAGCACTCAGAAAGTGTCCCACTGACTGAGCTGTTTCACACCAGATTGCTTCACTTCTTGTCCTGCCTGCCACCCACTAGGATTATTTGTACAAGACTGGAGGTGAATGCTGTCATGCTGAACTCAGTGAGTCCTGTGTGGGGGATGGGAGCAGAGAGGGAATTGGAATGTGGTGTGCAGATGTGTGAAGGTGAGAGTAAAGCTTATCAGCTACTGGTTCCAGAGGATGGTGGGCTTTTCCTTGGGCTTTTTTTTTTTTTTTTATCCCCTGACTCTGCTGGTGAAGTCATCAGTTGAACAACCTCAATTATCCAGCCATACAAGGTAAAAGTACCAGATTACTACATAAGGGTGTGAATAACTTTAAATATTTAAAAATATAACAATTAAACATAGGCCTTTTTGGTGAGCTGCTCCCTGGGTGGCCTCTATTAGAAACCTCTTGAGACCTCAAAGACACTTTCCTTTGTTGCATAATATTTTTCTTTTGTTTTCAGTAAACCAGGTTTGAGCAGCAAACTTCTGTGAAGTCCTGTAGCCAATTTAATATTTAAAACAGACCTGCAAAGTTGTGCTGTTTTCAGGAATGTCTTGAGTCATCCTCCCTCTGCTAACCTACTGTGCTGACCCAGCACCTGAGAAGGACTTAACAGCCCATGGGGACAAAGGAGTGTTCTGCAACTCTGCAGAAAGGCAGAATAATAAAAGAACAAAGAGTGATGTGGCTGAAGGCTGTGTTGCAGTTATCAATTTAAAAGAAAAAAATAAAATAATCCAACAAAATCAGCACAGACACTTGAATGCACAGCAGCTGGTGACCTAAAATGGTAACCTGCACTAAATGTGCTTCTTTGGTAATGGCATATGGTTTTCAGCCCATTTTGGGTAAAATTTTGTAGAAGAAGGCTCTTTTTTTTTTTTTTTTTGAAAAATTTTTTTTTTTTTTTGAAAAATTTGTCTTGATACTCAGGTCAAGAAGAGTCAGTAAGAAGACAGCTGTTCTAGGACCCCGAGAGTGAGGGGACAGCACTCATTGCTAGTGCTGTACCTGCTCTGCAGAGGCTTCTGTACTCTGAATATTGCTCGCTTCACAAATCAGAAATTACATTAATGGTGTTGCTCAGTTTCCATGGGCATACCATTCCATGTGCATATATCAGGGTGCTGAAGTTCTTATATTTTGTTGCTGTTGTGCGCTTATGTCCCCAGCTTCATAGAATGCAGCATTGCATTTTTATCCAACTTTATACTGTGAGATTTATAAAGCTTGGTCTCTGCTTGCCTGTGCCTGTATTTTAAATGTGTATAAAATTATTAAACTGCCCTAGATACAATTAAAAATTGCAGAGATTGCATTTCTTTTTATTCAGTGCCAGTGCAGATGTCTGAAAGTGAGTGCACTCTCGGAACCCTCCTTTTGAAACCTTTTGTAGTCATGCAAAAGATGAGCAACACTTTAATGGACAGAGGACCTCCAGCCAAAATACTTTCCAAATAACCTTAAAGTGTAACTTATCTTTTTATTTTGCAGCTAACTATGGACCAAATCCAATTTGCAAAGGTTGCTTATCTTGTTCAAAGGATAATGGGTGCATCAGATGCCAGCACAAGTTGTTCTTCTTCCTGCGCAGAGAAGGGATGAGGCAGTACGGCGAATGCCTGCACTCCTGCCCGTCGGGCTACTACGGACTAAGGACGCCAGACATGAACAGATGCTCAAGTGAGTTGTTTCTTGAACCCTTACGCGCAATTTTGTCAGAAAGCCATAATTCAGGCTCGGTTTTTAAGATGATATGTTGTGAAACGTGGTTGTATTTTCACAGATGTTTCAGGATCATCTTAAAACTTCTTTGCTAAAGAAGGTCCCAAGCTCGTTCTAAGATATATAACATGCAGCAGATTAAGCAGTTGATAATTTGACCTATTTTTTATTGTTGTTATTATTATTATTAATTTAATAAGAAGGGTAATTTAAGGAAAAAATATATGATTTACCTAGATACTCCTAGTTTTAAGAAACAAATTCCCACTATATGAAAATGAAAAGGATTCAGAATGAATTTAACGTGTACAATTAAGAATTAATTTTACATGCACAACTCAGAATTAATTTTGCATGTACGAGTCAGTATAAACACTAATATATGGGTGGGCTTTTTGTCATATTTTTTGTTCCCACACAAATTTCAGGTGACCAGACACCTCACACCAGACATTCTTTAATATGTATGTGTTGCTAATTTAATAAAACAGATGTACTATTAAAAACAAACAAACAACCTTTCACTTTTAGTGAAACATTTTATTTGGAAATTTACAACCTGCTAATGTGCAACAAGATTCCCTGTTTGCATGTTTGTGCCTAGAAGCACAACTGTTAAAATCCATGAGTGCTCTGGTATCTCACATTATTTCACCTCTGTCTGGCAGTTGTGCTGATTTGTATCGATTTTTCCATATGCTCATATGTGTAGTATTACCCACATGGATTATTAATCACTGCTGTTACCTCTTATTTCTATTTAGGGGGAGAATGTTTTTGTCATAGTTTAACCAGAATCAGGTCACCTGACATAAGAACCTGAAGTGAGAAATAGCTTTTCTTTTTTTCCTGCAATAATCACATGTCTGTTAAATGTGTGGCACCTTTCCCCTAGTGCTGTGCCATGTCATTGGGAGCACAGAGCTGTGAGAAAGCGTGTGCTGCTTTTCACATCACACATAATCTTGAGACTCACATGAGGTCACTCAGTGGCAGTCTGGCTGGATGAGGAGCACTTATGGCCATGCTTGGACCTGTCCCAAGCAGTCCCACCTCTTTCTCCCCATTCCCTGCGTGGGCTCCTTGGATATAGTATTCCCAACTGCTGTGTAATATTGGAGAGTGCTGCCTAATCTGTACCAGGTGGTTAAGTTTTGATAAAAAATTAAATGAGACAGTATATGGTTTATGCATCCATTTTGTAAAGTAATTTAGAATCTTGGCCTTAATTTTCCTAACACGTTTGTGAATTCAACAACTTCTCTACTTGAAATATTTCAAAACTTGGCTGTAAATACTTCCCCATGTAAAAATGTTTTTGAATATATTTGTAGGTTTAGGCAATAGATTGATTTATTTCTATTAGCCTGTACTGTGCTTGTGAGAAAGGCAAAGTAGTCTGTATTGGCAGTATTCTTTAGTTTCTTAAAAAGAAAAAAAACAAAACCAGAAAAGTTAATTGCAGAAGGTGGAGGGTGAATTCAAAGTAATATTTTTTTTTTTTTTTTGCTTTTACCACTTATGGAAAGTGGCATTTTCCCCTGAATTACAGGATTGATTTTGAAAAGCATAAATGCAAGTTGTGTCTAACCCATACTGGTATGTGTTGAGCACTTGATGTTTATCTCAGCCTCATGCCTTTGACAGTCCCCCCTCTCTGAGAATAATGAGGCACTTGCATTTATGGACCAGTCCTGGTTCTCCTCTGATGATATTTGTATTGTATATTTTTATGTTAATGTAACTGCTAACTGCTGTATTTAAACATCACTTCTCTTTTGTTTTGGTTTGGTGATATTGGTTTGCACATAAGAAGCATTGTGGACATACAAACACTTTCTTGATTGAAGTTGAGTTGAAATAAACAACCTTAAAATTGAATAGGTTTCTTCCTACTTGCTCTTCTTTGGTATGCTTACAGATTCCATTGCTCAGCTAGTATTATCTCAGCTAAAAATAATAAAAATTTTGGCTATGTTAAAATCCTTATGGGAGTTATAGGACTTGAGTTACATAAACTGAAATAATTTCTCCCCCAATAGTGTCTTCATAGGCACAAAAGATTTTTAACATTTTTTGCTGGAACATTTTCCCATTTTTTTTAGAGAAGCTATAGAACATATTTTAATGGAAAATGATGTCTTGATTTTAAAAGCCAAACATGATCAGTGCCAAATGTAATACAATAAATACCACAGCCAAGCGCAGCAGCTCTAAAATGGAAATTTTAGATTTCAAGACAAATGTTCTTTTCTATATGTAAGCACTATGTGTTCCTAGAATTTGCTAAGTGGCTCTAGACTATTTTTCTAGTAACAGTGAATCATGAAATTTGAGACTACTAGTCTCTAGATATCAATGCAGTTTCCTGCTGGATATGATCTTCACCTTGAACACTGCAGTATGAGAATGCAGTCCTTTTGGACATGAACTTGGAAAGTGTTGAATCTCTTCTGTAGAAGAAAGCCCAAGAGATGAGCTACACTTTGTTAATTTTCCAATACATTTTTAATAATTAATGACTTTGAACTGAACTGCTCCAACAAGAGATGATCTCATAAGAAAAAACCAGAACTGAATTTAAAGAGTAGGATGAAACCTGTCAGTTTGGTGGTTGCACTGGTTAATGGATCAAGCCTAATGTGAACCTTTCAACTTAGTCCATGGCCGTAGTAACCTGTATAATTTCAGGAGGCGAAACCACTCAGAGATTAGAAATTACACCTCCCTTCAGCTCTGGTTGACTACTTATTTGTTTAGGTTCTCCCTCTTTATCCTAGGTGGGTTGGACATTGTAATTTCCCCTTCCATTCACCTTCAGTAAAAACAAGATAAAGAGAAACTTTTAAACAAATTGAGCATTTATTAAACACATATAGTTAATTCAATGCATTAAGAAAGGTAATGAATTTTTTAATAGTGTTACAAAATAGAAAGACTTCATAAATATGCTGTTGCTTGAACTATACTTGTGTATTATAGTAGAGTGTATGACCCTTTGATCCTGTTGTAACTGAAACTGTAGCAGTGAGGGGGTTCAGTTACCAAAAAAAATAGCACAGAAGGTGTTGCTGGTCAATGATAGATGAGTGCAGAGTGCCAGTGGACACTTCAGGATGGCAGTGTGAAGTTGGATCTGTAGCACCAAAGCTGCACCGGAGAGCAGCAGAAGGATGGGAGCAGGAGTGAGTGTCATGGTGATGGGGACAGTGTGGGCATTGGTGAAATTGTAGAAGAGTCAGGCTGAGTCAGGTTGTTGTCACTCCTAATTTGTCTTTGGCTACAGTTAAATTATCATTATGATTAGCACTCAGTAACTCTAAGCATTATGATGAATATCACTCTGATGAATTATTTTTATTTCAGAATTCTTACAGTATTCTTAATACTCTTTCAGTATTTTCCCCTAATTTGCATCTGATACAGATTAAATAATAGTTTTTCATGTTTGGAGTAGTTTATTTTCATAGGAAAAAAATGAAAATAAACTCTTGGTGGAAATCTCCACCCAACCTTCATCCAACCTTCACCCAACCTTCACAGACTAAAACTTCTCAAAGATAGTTATCTCAAGGACTCTGCTGGCAAAAGGAAACTGGCATTGCAGGTAAAGCAGAAAATACAAACAAGATGGGGGTTTTGAAGTATGATCAAAACTGAAAGAGGATTTATTAATTCATTTAATGAATGATAGTTTTATGGAGGGAATCCCCAGTGCAAAGTGAGGCTGGCTTCCACCCGCCAAGCATGTCTGTATCGTGTCAAAGGCTAGCTTCTGTTGAAAGTTTTTCCTTTAGTCTCTCTTCCACACACACAGAGAAAAGCTTTTAGCATGTTACTCTCAGAATGTTTTTTGAAAGCAATAGTTAAAATGTTGTTTAAAAATTGTTGTGTCACTTGGGTGTGAGGGAGGGTTGCAAGATGCTGATTTTTCTTTCAATGTTCTGGTCTGCATCTTATTATTGGGACTACATGATTTGTAAAAACCTTGATTTCTTTTCAAGTGTCTCAGGTAGCTGGGCAAGAGGCAAATGTTTTTTCTGAATATTTAAATACACAGGATGTTTGACTCAAGCATTGCATTTAATAAAATACTTGCAGTACACCTTGAGTGTAACAAACCAGACTAGCAATTAAGTATTGTGGTACATCTCCAGAGAAGCTCACCTGGTTGGTTTTGGCTTGCAATTCATTAATCTGGGAAAGTAATTTTGCAGGATCACTGTGTAGACATTGACCAGGATCCTGTTCTTTAGGGACTGGTTCAACCCTTGTGAAAATAAATTATTATTCTAAGGAATTTCCTATGACCCTAAGTGTGGACAAGAAGCCCAAGTTATGCTGCTTATATGAACTTGAGTTTTAAAAGCCCCTTTGGAAAATGCTGGACACAGGAGTTGGTACATTCAGGTTATGTGTGGTTGTGTTTAAATAGAGCCAGCAGAGGTTACCTTTGTCAGGGCAAGGCTTCAAACTGATGCTCACATTCCTTTTAACCAAGCAAAGGTCAACACTACTAGAAATATACATTTTTCTTTTCATTCAATCTGCCTAATTTTTTGCCCAATGCCACAAGAAATCTGATCTAAAAAGTCTCATATTTCCCTAATTGCCAACAAAGAATTTTACACAACCACACTCACACACACACTGTTTAAGTATTGTGGGATGCCCTGTTTTGGCTTTCTGAAGTTCAAGAATAAATATTAAAATCTGTTTCATAAATATTGGCTAAATTTGAAGTGTTGATTGGAGATATTTACTAATTGCTGTTTCAGAATAGTGACCTTATGTTTTGTGCTTTCTTTCTTCCATTATAAAAGAATGAAGAATAAATGACTGACAGAATTACCGAAATTATTATTATATTGTTGCATAACATTAATAAAAAATGCTTCTTGTTATGGCTTCAGATAGCTGAAGAGAGGATACAGTTATTGTAGTTTATTTAATTTTGTTAGCTGAAGGATTAGATTTTTAAAAATTAATTATAAAATTATCATTACTGTTCCAAATATAATGGCTTATCCTTTTTAGTCATTGGAATATTTTTCCCCTGGTATTTTTTTGTAGGTATGTATGGTATACATATGATCATTAATAGTTTTAATATGGAATAGGATATTTCTGAATAGCCTACACCTGAGTCTGTCATCTATTGCAGGTCATATTCCTCTTAAATTTTCAGAGATATACAATATTTTATAAAGCTAACAGTTGTTTGGTTTTGTTTGTTTTTTTTTTTTTTTTTAATTTTTAATGAATTCATTATGGTGTATGTCTCCTAGTAATTTAAGAATGCTTATTTTTTGTGGATTAAGGGTCTCAGTAATAGAGAGGAGTTAAATCCATCAAAACTGAGGCTTTTTGCACATGCATATGTGTAGACACGGACATCAAATATACTACATGAAAGCATCCACTCAGCTATTCATAGGGTCAGCTCATAGAAAAGAAGGTATCCTGCTTTCAGTGATAAACTATAAACTGAAGATAATACATATAATACATGCATGCTTCCCAAAATAATTTGTTGCATCTCAGTTTAATAGAAATTACTTACACATGAAAATAATTTATACTGAACATTTTTCCTCCAAAGAGATGTCAGGAAAATGTGGTAAACAAAGTTACCTCTAATTTTGTCTATATACCAGATGCATTTCAGGATGACAGTATTATAGCATTTCTGGCTTTGCTGTTTTATTCCTTTATAAATCCCTTCAGTTTCAGTCTTACCCTAACTTTGCTGTCTCATTGTTCCTTATGATCCTTCTGATTTAGGATGCAGAATAGAAAACTGCGACTCCTGCTTTAGCAGAGACTTTTGTACCAAATGCAAAAGTGGCTTTTACTCACACAGAGGCCGCTGCTTTCGAGGATGTCCCGCTGGATTTGCAGCCTTGGAAGAGCTTATGGAATGTGTGGGTGAGTCAAATAGCCCTTTTGCAAGGTGGCCATGTTCAAATATGATGCTACTTTATGGTGATGCTTAGTATTTCTTATCAGGAAATATTCAGTAATGAATTATTATTGATTTCTTTACTGGTAATACTAGTAAATTTTTCCAAATTTTAAAATATGCTTCAGTGGGAATGCCACTCTATTGTGCATCAGAAAGCTCTGTCCTTTTAACTGTAAAATCACTTTGTATGAAGATTTGCAACTCAGAATTCATGAGATTTCAGGACTTGTGTCAGAACAAACTCTTTCACGAGTATTTCTTGCATTTCATGATGGAGAGGACTTAGAAATATGAACTTCTGAAGTTTTCAAACCCAGCTGACAACCAAATAGAATCTATATATTAGATAGAGAAAAAAAGTCAATCTCATTATTTTAGGAGAGTTTTTTAATATTTGGGACTGTCATAGCATATCAAGCATACAGTCTGATATTCTGGGTTTTTTTTGGTTGGGTTGATGCTGGCTAAAATGATTCAGATTCTGTAAGAGATTTTAATTTTGTTTCTAGCTTTTTACCTGCTAATGGTAAAAGTGTCGTGTTGCTTTCTAACAATGTACAGTGTACCTGGATAAAAAAAAAAAAAAGAAAAAACAAAAAAACCCCCAGAAGTATTGCTCACTTGTGTTTTCTTTTGCTTTATCAGAAGGCTGTGAAGTGGGTCAATGGAGTGAGTGGGGAACTTGCAGCAGAAATAACAAAACATGTGGATTTAAGTGGGGCCTGGAAACAAGAACCAGACAAATTGTGAAGAAGCCAGCAAAAGACACAATACCATGTCCAACCATTGCAGAATCCAGACGGTGTAAAATGGCCATGAGGCATTGTCCAGGAGGTAAGTGTAGCCCATGCCAGAAAAATGTTTATGAGCTGAAGGCCAAATTCTGTCTCTGTTCTGCCAGCCAAGGCTGAAAAGCAGCAGTAGTCCATCAGTGCTAGTCTGTGTAGCACGACTCCAGGGAAGTGCTCAGCATGGGGGCAACCACTCCTTCAGCAGACTGTGAAACTCTGTTTTTCCTGGTGTGGTACTGAGGGTTTTTCAAAGAGGTGCCTCATGTAAGACCCTTAACAGGTTGCAGTCTTGAACTTCGGCATAGAAATGATGCTGATGGTGGAAGAACTACTTGTTCTGCACATGGCAGGAAAGATGATTCTGAACTTCTCTGGAGGTGGCACACACAGTGTTGGTACACTGGGTATTTAAATGAAAAGAAGTTATTTACACATGGCATTGTTAGCTGGAACCTTTAGCTGGAATATGTTATTTGTTTTGAATATTCTGGAATGAGACTATACTGTGATAGATGTGATACAAGCAGAACAGCGATAGATATCAAGATTTTCAGCTTGAGACCAGCCTATGGCAGCTTCCCCAAGTAAATAAAATCAAATTTCTTTATCATGGTGTTGCAAGACTTAAGTAGTGATGCTGATGTGAAAAAGGAAATCAAGTTTCAAATTTAAGCTTGGTTTTTGTAGACTCCAAACTGAAGACATATCACTGCTGGAGAGTTTTTATTATCTTTTAAGTTGGAAAGTTTAACCTCTCAGATATGGTTCCGGACAACTTAAACAGGTTTCAAAATTTGTAGGAGAGGTGGATGATCAGCAGATGATAAAGATGCCATTCCTTTCAGAGCCACAGGGTTAAATAACGAATGGTCTTCAAGAGATCTCTAGTTCAACCTCCTACTGCTAGCTGGGTCAACTGTGAAATCAGACAAATAAAAAAAGAAAGGAAGGGTTGAGGAATCCTGACGAAAACCTTAACATGATGAATAAGATAAACCTGAAACCATCTTAGAAAAGCTACCTAAATAAGTTGCTTTGTATTCTGGGATTGTTGAAGGTGTCTGTCTTGGCTTGAACATTCTGCCTACCAATGTGTATGTGTGTTATACACAGTTTTATCTTATGGATACGGATTAAATCTCTGTAAGCTTCATTTTTTGTCTCTAGGACTGCAAGACAGTCTGGAAGGGTATATAAAGTTGATTCTCTGTTATCCAGGTTGACAGACTATGGTGTACTTTCCTTCCATATCCCGCTCCTGTATTCGTACACACATGGGCACACGTAGGGCACAGTCACAGTGGTACAGGGGGCATTGTACAGCACAGTTAATCTGCAACTTAAATAAAATTCTCAAAGGCATTGAAGAATGGAACCTACAAAATTAACATCTCTGTAAGAAAGAAGAAGAAAAGGTAAAAATGAAGGCTGACTTGAGCTGCCATGATATGTGTGTAGTGGTATCTTTGAATATTAGTCAGCTGCATCTGCATCAAGGTAGTGACACTTACCAGTGCTTGCAGCCTGCTGAGTGATCCAGTTACTTGTAGCAGACTGAAGCCCAAATGGGGCTAGTAATCAGATCAACTGAGGAAATGTTTTACTGCTGAAATGAAAGGAAATAAAAAAGGGCCCATGACAAGCTCTACTAAATCTCCAATCAGTGTTTTCTTTCTTTTCATTTGCCTTCAAATGCAGGCAGTTTAGCTTGCAGTGGAAAATTTGAGAAAATTGCAGATATTTTTTCAATTCAACATCACGTGGTTCAGATTTAGTAATTTATGTACTCAGTGTATATAAAGGCAGGTATTTTATGGATGCAGCATCCAACTTCTATAAAAACTCCTAGCAAGTAGAAATATGTGTTTAGTCTCGATAATTTAGTTAGGATACAAATTATTCAAATTGTTGTAAATAGTTTGAGAAGTGTGCTTAAGTGAACCATAATACTCAAGAATGATGTAGCATACTCATGTAACTGTATTAATTTGGACATTCATACTTTTTTATGTCATATTCTCTTAGGTTGTTTCAAATTTCCTTGTCCAGCAATTCAGGTCACTGCTTAAAGATTTACATCTCAAATTTATCTTTTTGAGGGCACAGTGGCTTTCCTAAGAGTGAGGATATTTATGGCCTATGTCCATACTGTCTCTGTATTAAGATCCATGATGAAATCTTTGCTTTTTTTTCACCACATATCAGGAAAGTTGTTGCTGCAAATACAAATTCAGTGTAGTACTTGTAGTACGCTTTCATGAGCTTCAGTAAATCCTAAAGATTACAGTCCTCTCCTCCCATAGTGTGGAATTCCCTGCACCTGTTTTCAGAGATAAAAATAAATGTGTACAAAACTGCAGGTCTGAACTCTCCACACTGAATACAGTGTTTAATACTGCTTCTGTGCCATCATAGAAAACACCTCCCAGAGAATAAGCTCCTTTCTCTCTCCTAAGTAACTCCTGGGAGAGTGTTAGTGGTGTTTTAAGTGCCTAGGGTAAGTCTTCTCCAGACCTGGTTATCTCTGCAGGTGAGCAAGACACACAGGCTGCCCTGTATACAACTCCTGCTTTGTAGTATGATTTAATTTATGCTATATACAGGGCTGGTCTAAGACCCTGTTCCTTTATCATATTTTAGTAGCAGGTTGCCCCATTAGACACTCAAAATGTTTTAATGCCTATTTGATCACTGTGACATAGTGGGAGGCACAGACACAGCTTACAGATTCTGGCTGCTGAGGAAGAGATTCTGAGTCTTTAAAAATATGGTGCTCTCCTAATGTCAAGAATTTTGTGACTGAACCTTTAAACTGAAGAAATAATAGAGAAAAATTATAAGGTTAGCACTTCTGTGAGACTGAATAACCATAATCCCCTGTAAATGTCAGTTGAGGGGCTGTTAATAAATCCTTTCATCCTAATGTTCTCAGTACATAAACTCACACAAATGTGGAGAATAAGTATTGGATTATACAGCTAATATGATTGAAGATTGTGATGGATTAAGCTGAGCACAGGAAGTAAGGATATTTTTGGTAGAATAGGGTCAAATAAAGTGCTTTTGTCATGTGCTTTCTACTTCTCTGTATTTTAAAGTTACTATTTCTGGTCCACACTACAGGGAAATATCCAAAACAGATTTTGTGCATTTGCAGTAGAAGGAGAATTAAGGAAGGAGAGTTAAATTCTGTTTTCCTACGAAGTATTTCAGTTTCATATTTTTAAGGTGCTATCCAGCTGGCCATATGGCTGTGGTACAACTTTGGTTTTTGATGAATGATTTATCACTTTCTCAGTATCTGCAGAGCTGTAGAGATACAAACTGGAATATAAGTGATAGATCATTTGACTTCTTTTCTACTGAAGCTAGCAACATAAGAATAACACTGATTTCATATTTGTTGCTTGGAGATATTTCCTTAGGGTCAGTAGTTATTGATTTAACTAATACTGTATGGAAATGTCACATTTATGTATCTGTTAATGTTACGTAAATTACTCTGTGGCTTTGACTGTAATGTGAATTCTACTTTGAGAGGTTAGACTTAGACAAAGGAGACTTGGATTGTTCAGGCCACCTTCTACCCATGCTGGTCTCTTCCTGATAAGGAATTTTCTTCTCTTGAGTTCAAAAAGAGAGAAAACCAGAATTTTAAAAACCCAATGGGGAAATCAACAGTCAGAAATGTAAAATAGGCTGACAAATCTTTCTCTCTTCATGTTTTCCCATATATTTACTATAAATAATTTATTTGTACCTCTTATTTGTATGTTGCTCATGTTTACCTCAGTAATTGCTCCTCTTTTGTTTGTACACTCCAGGAACCTACAGATTGGTTTAATTATTCATATTAAGTGTTACATAAGCAAGCAAAGCAGCTCTCTGCTATTTTACTGTTCATCAGACTGCAGTTCTTCAAGTGTCTGAAACTTGAATATTACTCTATGCCAAACTAATGCTTCTGCAAGTGCACATTGCTATCCCATGTCCAGCCTCTCACCCACCAGCACCCCCAAGTCCTTCTAGGTCACCAAAGCCTTCTGTTTTCCAGGCTCAACAAACCCAGTTCCTTCAGTCTCTCTTCACAGGGTAAACACTTCAGCTCCTCACCATGTTGGTGATGCTGTGCCAAACTCTGTCAATATTTTTCTTTTCTTGAGCTGAGGGACCCAAAGCTGCATATGGTATTCTAGATGTGGTCTGGTGGATGTCAAATAAAGGGAGATGATCACTTCCCTTAATCTGCTGTCACTCTGTATTAACAGGTCAGCAGATTGAAGGAAGTTATCGCTGCTGCTACGGCACAAAGTTGGCTCACATTTAGCTCAAGTTTCATCAGGACCTTCCCAGGAGAGCTCTTCCCCAGACAGTCCATATCCAGCCCATATTTTTTCACAGAGTACTTCCTTCCCAGATGCAGGACTTTGCACTTTGTTGAATTTCATGAGGTTCCTTTCAGCTACAATGAATTTTTCCTCATAAGTGAGATAAAAACCGGTCAAAATAAATATAACACCAGAACTCAGCAAATGATCAGGCAGTTAAACACATTCTTTTGAGCTTTTTAATACATCTACATTGTAGTACCCAATGTTGTAAAGTTTGTAAGCTGGGACTCTTTTATATATTGCACTTATAGTCTGTCTCAGTGCCAAATACCTACAAACACAATCTGCCCTTTGAGTCGAGGCTAGGGCATTCTCTAGGTGGGTCTCAGGAAACATTGCCATCATGTTCTCTGTCTCCTATTGGTCATGCTATGTTGCCACAAGAACAGATAACTTAAGTGGCAAAGGTTGGTCCAGGAACAGCAAGAACTGTTGCCTTCTCCACGAGGACTGTCAAGCATTTGGCTGGATTGGTCCAGTAGACTGTGTAGGCACCATCCTTGGAAGTTTCTAAGACCTCACTTGACAAACTCTTGAACAATCTAGTCTGAATGGTCTCAGTCCTACTGAGGATGTTGGACTGGGGATCTCGATCCTACTGATGTTTGGACTGGGGACCAGTCTGAATGATTCTGTCTGAATGACAGAACCT